TTGCGATTTTTGCAATTTTCAGTCATTTTTGCGATTTTTGCAATTTTCAGGAATTTTTGCGATTTTTGCAATTTTCAGTCATTTTTGCGATTTTTGCAATTTTCAGGAATGTTTGCGATTTCTGCAATTTTCAGGAATTTTTGCGATTTTTGCAATTTTCAGGAATTTTTGCGATTTTTGCAATTTTCAGGAATTTTTGCGATTTTTGCGATTTTCAGGAATCTTTGCGATTCTTGCAATTTTCAGGCATATTTGCAATTTTTGCAATTTTCAGGCATTTTTGGAATTTTTGCAATTTTCAGCAATTTTTGCGATCTTTGCAATTTTCAGGAATTTTTGCGATTTTTGCGATTTTTGCAATTTTCAGGAATTTTTGCGATTTTTGCAATTTTCAGTCATTTTTGCGATTTTTGCAATTTTCAGTCATTTTTGCGATTTCTGCAATTTTCAGTCATTTTTGCGATTTTTGCAATTTTCAGTCATTTTTGCGAATTTTGCAATTTTCAGGAATTTTTGCGATTTTTGCAATTTTCAGGAATTTTTGCGATTTTTGCAATTTTCAGTCATTTTTGCGATTTTTGCAATTTTCAGGAATTTTTGCGATTTTTGCAATTTTCAGGAATTTTTGCGATTTTTGCAATTTTCAGTCATTTTTGCGATTTTTGCAATTTTCAGGAATTTGCGATTTTAGCAATTTTCAGGAATTTTTGCGATTTTTGCAATCTTCAGTCATTTTTAAAATTTTCAGTAATTTTTGCAATTTTCAGTAATTTTTGCGATTTTTGCAATTTTCAGTAATTTTTGCGATTTTTGCAATTTTCAGTCATTTTTGCGATTTTTGCAATTTTCAGGAATTTTTGCGATTTTCAGGAATTTTTGCAATTTTCAGGAATTTTTGCGATTTTCAGGAATTTTTGCGATTTTTGCAATTTTCAGGCATATTTGCGATTTCAGCAATTTTCAGGAATTTTTGCGATTTTTGCAATTTTCAGTCATTTTTGCGATTTTTGCAATTTTCGGTAATTTTTGCGATTTTTGCAATTTTCAGTCATTTTTGCGATTTTTGCAATTTTCAGTCATTTTTGCAATTTCTGCAATTTTCAGTCATCTTTGCGATTTTTGCAATTTTCAGTCATTTTTGCGAATTTTGCAATTTTCAGGAATTTTTGCGATTTTTGCAATTTTCAGGAATTTTTGCGATTTTTGCAATTTTCAGGACATTTTGCGATTTTTGCAATTTTCAGTCATTTTTGCGATTTTTGCAATTTTCAGTCATTTTTGCGATTTTTGCAATTTTCAGGAATTTTTGCGATTTTTGCAATTTTCAGTCATTTTTGCGATTTTTGCAATTTTCAGTCATTTTTGCGATTTTTGCAATTTTAAGTCATTTTTGCGATTTTTGCAATTTTCAGTCATTTTTGCGATTTTTGCAATTTTCAGGCATATTTGCGATTTGTGCAATTTTCAGGAATTTTTGCGATTTTTGCAATTTTCAGTCATTTTTGCGATTTTGCAATTTTCAGTCATTTTTGCGATTTTTGCAATTTTCAGGAATTTTTGCGATTTTTGCAATTTTCAGGAATTTTGCGATTTTTGCAATTTTCAGTGATTTTTGCGATTTTTGCAATTTTCAGGAATTTTTGCGATTTTTGCAATTTTCAGTCATTTTTGCGATTTTTGCAATTTTCAGGAATTTTTGCGATTTTGCAATTTTCAGCCATCTTTGCGATTTTTGCAATTTTCAGTCATTTTTGCGATGTTTGCAATTTTCAGGAATGTTTGCGATTTCTGC